GGTCTAGACCAGCTCTATTTGAAAAGTGTCCTGAGATAACTTCTGTTATGAATTGGCGCTATACAAATAGAATTAAATTGAATAGTTTGTACACAGTGTGGATCAATGTGAGAACCTTCAATTTTCAACTCTGGGCTGTGTTCACCGCAATGATCAAAACATCATGGTGGTTTGACTTCAACGGACTTCCAGAGACTGGAGCTGTTTTGGCTTGTGGTGGAAGACACCTTAGTTCCTTTCATTTGTCACCCATCTGATGTTCATTCTGAATTCTGAATATGCAGTGAATTGACAGTAAATGGAAGTCTTTCTTTCTGTCTCTCTTCTGGATGTCTCTGCCAGGATCTGGATGGTGTTGACATCATGCTGGGGGTTTGCTCTAGCGGTCTTATGGTTTACAAAGACAAACTGAGGATCAACCGTTTCCCCTGGCCTAAAGTCCTCAAGGTCTCATACAAACGCAGCAGCTTCTTCATCAAAATAAGACCGTCTGAGGTAGTGTTTTTATCAACAAATAAACAACAAAACAACAAAGTTATCTATCTATCTATTCATTCACCTGTACACTGAACTCACCCTAACCATGCAAACTTAAAGATTATTTTGTTAATCTTGTTTTCAGCAGGGTTTGTGTTTGTTGTGTTTAAACAGGTGGAACAGTACGAGAGTGCAATTGGCTTCAAACTACCTAATTACAAGGCGGCCAAGAAACTGTGGAAAGTGTGTGTAGAACATCACACCTTCTTCAGGTAGGATATTAATATTGTTCAATATAGAATCCGAAATCGGAAAATGAAAAAACTATTTCTTATTCACTATTATAAATTCATCCATTTTCGAATCCAACACAGAAACAATAATAACAGTTTAGTATTTTCTATTTAATGTTGTTTTAATGCTTTAAAACTGGAATTGAAAAAACGGGCCACAGGCCAAATTTGATTTTGATATTTAATCAATCCAAACTTTGTCACCAGGAAGTTAGGCTACTGATTTCTATGTGCATAGCACTTGATAGTCTATTAGCAAATACACTTGGTTGATGGTGCTCACTGATTTAATGTAATGAATATGAGCTTTTTTTTCAAGTATTTTGGAAAAGAAGATAATTTTAATTAAGACAATTTTGGTCATATTTGCTGAATCTTTCATTATATCCAGTATTATATTATTATATATTATATTATAGGACCTCTGGTTCCTCCTATTGCTCCTAATGGCATTTGCAAGAATCCACCGGGCATGAATGAAAACAACCAAATTAGAGCCAAGAAAGATAATTGATTGTCTCATCCCCAGGGCATCAAATACAGGGTCTTTAAACTCTTTTTCTATATTTTTCTCTATGTTGAACCCAGTGAAAGACACCAAGTACTCAGTGACTTCCCTTAAATATCAAAATCAATTTTAGTCTGTAGCCAGTTTTTTTTGTTCCCCTTTTTTTGACATGAGCAGAAGATCAAAAGTATGTTTCTTGTTTGTTGGATTTACGAATAAACAAGTAAATAAATATTTTTTTATATTTTATTATTTTATTTTTTATTTTTTATTATTATTAATTTTTTCCGATTTTGGGTTCTATATAGAATATGAAAAGAATGAATGTTACACGCATTGATACTGTATTCTTTAAGATAGTTTATCCACATTGCTGTGCAGTGGAAATTGAAAAGCCAAATGTGCTTGCTAGCAGCCTTTCCCAGAGTCAGATTACAAAATCAGTATCAATGTTCTTTGTGTGCAGGCTGACCTCCACTGAGATGGCCACCACTCCCAGGAAGTTTCTGGCATTGGGCTCTAAGTTTCGCTATAGTGGTCGGACTCAGGCTCAGACCAGACAGGCAAGCTCTCTGATTGACAGACCAGCTCCGCTGTTCCAGCGCTCTTCCAGTAAGAGGAACTCGCGCAGCCTGGATGGAGGTACACTGCTGTTTGTGCTGTATATGTGTATTTCTCATACCAGAGCTTGTCACCCAGTACAATGCTGGTTACTGAGGTTTTCGCCTGCATGTTAGAGCGCTGGTATTCTTGTTAACTATGTGAACATCATGGCTACCCCATATATTTTGTGTTGTGTATTTTACCAAATACAAGCTGTAATTTGCAATTTTTTTCAATTAAATTTTATTTG